ACATATATATATATATATATATATATATATGTATGTATGTATGTACACACACACATATATACATATATATATATACATACATATATGTATGTGTGTGTATATGTATACACACACACACACACACACACACATATATGGCTTAGAGACATGGGAGTGATATATTGATTTAAACTTAAGAACATAATGGAATAATGAAATTTTGTGAACCGAAGGTAGTGCTCTGCTCATTGCGCCTCTTATGCCATTTTATGAGGGATGTTTAGATGTTTCCAATTGAACAAAAAAATGATTTCAGTTATTTCTTGAGTAGAATATGGTTCAATTTCTTCATTTTTATGTACATTGATTTCATGTCTATCATGAAAGAAAAAGTTTTAGTTGCATATGCAATTTTATCTTGTTTATAATGAATAATGTTATGCAGAGGCTTTGTGATAATGATCCTGGTGTTATGGGTGCAACACTTTGCCCATTATTTGATCTTATCACAATCGATGTTAATTCTTACAAGGATCTGGTGATCAGCTTTGTAAACATTCTTAAGCAAGTAGCTGAGCGCAGACTGCCTAGGAGTTATGATTACCGTCATATGCCCGCTCCATTTATCCAGGTATACCTTATATTGTTTTTTGGCATACTTGATAGTGTGCTTGCATGTTTTATTCCAGGACCATAATTATAATTCAGAATTTGTAGTGCAAAAAATGTTCTTTGCACCAGTTTCAGGGAAAAAAAATGTGCAAAAATATCCGTTTCTATCAACACTATTCAAATGTTATTAGTTGATTAAGTTTGTAATTCTGAAATATAAAAACTAATGTTTTGCTATGTCTTTACAATAACCATCTGGCTTTGTTCTGAATAATTAATCAATTTGAGACTGGAACCTCGGTGTAGTAATAGTCATAAAAATTGTGATTATTCTTCAAGTTTGACAGTTTGGGAATAAATTCTTTCTTCTTACACCTTATTTTTTTATTTTTTTTATTTTCTCAGTGGGTGCTCAGTTATTTCTCTGGACAAGATTATTACGAATACATTACTCATAACATGCCAACACTGTAGTTATAGGGAATGGATCTAATAGAATCTGCAAGTTCTAGTGAAATATGGGCAAACACATCATTGGGCTTTATCAGATGCTAACAGAAAACAATGCCTTCCTGACTTAATGACCTAATGACCTCTCTCCTTCAATAACACTTTACCACTTAGCATTTCCAGAACTATTCTTGGTTAGAAGTCTGAATGGGTGAAATGAATAAAATTTCACAATATTAAGGAATCCTCTGAGGATGTATTATGTATAGTAGTATAAGCAACGGTCTTGTGATATG